TAGAATTGAGATTCATATTTGCGTTATTGTTTGTGAGGACAATAGTGTTTTGTTTGCGTTTAGGTTTAGCGTATGCGTTCACCTTCGTGTATATGCATTTATGTTTGCATTAGTGTTTGAGGTTTTGATTTAATCTTAAAGCAAACAATCTACCTAGAAAAATAAACACACGTCTAATTCAAAACTTACACGAACTCATGGTACACGGTCACAAAATTAAACGCAACCAACATATACCAAAATTGAAAGTCAAATGAGAAAGGTGTCCCTTAAAATGAAACCAAAGCATTGCTTTTGAGAAGACGAAAAGAAACCAAATTGTGCTATGTTTGCTTATGAGCTCAGTCGTGTATATGCATTTATGTTTGTATTAGTGTTTGAGCTTTTTATTTAATCTTAAAGCAAACAATCTACCAAGAAAAAAACACACTTATAAGTCAAACCTCAAACCTTTTGACGAACTCATACACGTTCAAAAAGTTAAACGCAACCAACAAATCCTAATATTGAAAGTCTAACGTGAATGGTGTACCTAAGAAAGAAACCGAAGCTTTGCTTGGAACAAAAAAATGCATAACTACTTGCTTGTAAAGAGGAGTGTAAAAGACAAAGCACCGATATATGTAGTAGTTATGATTTGCTTAAAAAATCAAAATCTCCAAATTTTAACAGAAAAATACCTTTGGTTTCAAGAAAGACAATGAGCTTTAGACCACAAATGGCTGACAAAGTCAGTAATTTATAGAGTCGTGTGGACTTGGGAAGATAATAGCCCTTAATTCTTGCAAGTTTGATATAAACTTATACGAGTACACACACAAGAAGAAACTATAGGATGTGGAAAAATCATGACATCTCTATTTTAGAGTTTCACTAACAATCTATGAATCACAACTTTGATTAAGGGGAAACAAATTTTTTACCTGATCAAAAGCGGCCGGATTTCTACGGTAGCTGAAATTCCTGGTTTGAAATCAAACACTGCGTACCACAACTAGTTCATACAAAACAACAACAGAACATGTACCTAAGATAGAAAACAGAGAAAGCACCAGTACCACCAAACATGCCTTAATTTGAAAGACATATCAGATCAATGATCAAGAGTCTTAGCATGAAAAAAACTTGCAAGAAGAAATACGATTCAGGATTCAAATACATACATGCTTGCAAAGAATTCGGATTTCATATATATCCACCAAAATCCAGTATCTTCCCTAAATACATAAGAGCTTCCCTATGTTTTATGCAGACAAAGTCAAATACCACAAAAAAGAAGAAGAAGCAAACAACTAGTATTCACCAAAGACATAGGTAAGAAAGCTTCAGGGCACTGCAATCGGTAACTGTGGGTAAAATATCGTTTCTTTTAACATTTTCAGAAGCATAGAATAGAGAATCTTACTTAACATGCAGAAGCATAGGATAGAGAATCTTAAACTAACATGCAGTAGCAAGTACTATTAAACCTACATTTTTTAAAAAGTGTTACCACCCCCCAATGCCTGCTTATCAGACTGGAAATGAACCAGGAGAGACATTGGCTTCAACTTATATTGTCTGCCAAGTAGATGCTATCTTATGCGAAATGATTTGGGTACTAATTTTGTTTTTGCTAAAGGCAAGGCATAACACAGACAGAGTATCACTTCCAATATTCCAGGGAACACACAATATAGAAGACAGTTCAAAATTAAAATCATGCGCGTCAATGCATACTAGATATACGATCAAAATTACTTTCTTCATCAACAAAAATTTTAAGGCACTGCAATCGTTAACTGCACCTTTGGTCACTG